TCAATAAGAAGTCATTTTGGACCGTCCCATTGTTCGGTCAATCTCTTTATTCTTTAGTAACTTAAAACTTAAACAACATAGTGAGTTCACAAAGGGTGACTGTAGCCTTTCAAGAAAAGCGCTAGTTCGAACTAATTGAAATGGTTCATTATTCATTCTTAATTTAAATTGAGATCGTTACCATGACAGTGAAATGGCTTTTTTGTGGTGTTTTGTGATGGCAGGCAGAGGAGCTGATAAGGAAGGGAGGTGAAAAGGTGGTGGAGGATCTCAAGACGTCCTATGGATCACAGTCGGACATCACCACCATCTGGAACAACACCATGAAAGAGGTACTGATAGGGCCAGGGAACTATTTAAGTTTTTAACATCTTCATAAATGACCATGGCAACTTCATTAGTGTTGCTTATTTAAGTACCTTCTCCGGCTAAGTCAAGTATAAAAAGGAATTTAGTGCCTATAAATGCATATAAGACTATAAATGAAAGAAAATTTAAGGGGGCAGGGTGGCACAGTGGTTAGCGATGCTGCCTCAATACTGGGACCTTGGGGTCAATTCCAGATCTGGGATCCGTGTGGAGTTTGCATGTTCTCCCCAAGTTTACATGAGCTTGCTCCAGTTGTTCCAGTTTCCTCCCACAGTCCAAAGACATGCTGGTAGGTTAATTGGCTTCCTTGGAAATGGCTCTGGTATGTGTGTGTGCCTGTGTGTGCCCTGCAATGTACTGGCATCCCATCAAGGGTGCGCCCCATTGCTTGCTGGGACGGGTTTTGAGCCTGTATTGGATAAGTCGGTTAGAAGATGGATAGATGAATAAAATTTAGTGACATGTTAAGGATTGTAAAAACACCTTTTTTTAATGTATGGCTCTAATTTGTCCAGAAACTAAACATGTATTTATATAGACACATTAGTACTACCGACTACATTTTATTTTTCTGGAATAGATCTATTGATTAGATGCTTGGCTGCAGTCTTAGACAAAACTATTTTTTTTCAAAGTTTTTTTTTTTTTTTTTTTTGAGAAGAGGCAGTAAAAAGTCCTCTGTGTTCTTTTTGTCTTCCTTCAGTTCAAGTGCTGCGGATTCAATAACTACACCGATTTCATGAACTCTTCCTTTGTGAATGCCTACAACATGTATCCGGAGCAGTGCTGCAAAAGTCAGCCGTGCAACAGCAGTAACGTGTCCAGCTCGGTAATTCATTCTCCTTCCTTCAGTTTTCCTTCCTTCACACACGCCCTCTCTGCCACCGCGCTCTATGTCTTTGACTAGATTCACTCAAGTAAAGTCTAGTCTGAAACGGAAAGCAGTTTCACGACAGACGCATTTTTAATGAACCTAAGTATTTGTCTACCTAAAGGAATCTGTTATCTAGTTGAGCAAACCTGAAAAAAAAGCAGAAATTGCGCTGAAGAGCAGTGCAAGCTCTTTTTTTTTTGCAAAGCTTCGAAGCCTCTTGGTTGGTTTTAACTGTTTTAATTTTAAGTTGAGGAGATAAATGAGACTAGCGGAGTTCAGAGTACAGATTTCCCACTCCTCACTCGGTCTGTTACTCAATTCTGTTCATTTCAACCAGCTTTATTGACATGACTGATGAATTACAGTGTTGCCAAAGAGCATACAATCGACACAACACCTACGGATATTTACACTGCAGGGGAATGTCATACACATGGGACATTGTCAACACTTCCCTCTCTCACTCTCTCTTGGTCTCTCTCCGTCTCTCTCTCGCTCCCACACTCCACTTGGCCACCTCTCTGACCACCTCTCCCTGCGCCCCCAGGCCGTGAAGGGGTGTTTCCCTGCTTTGGTGGAGTTTGTGAAGAAGAACGCTGTCGTCTTGGGGGCTGTCGCCCTGGGCATCGCTGCTCTGGAGGTAGGAGCCTCGTTGCCACGGAAACACACGCCGGGCTTCCCCACTTCCATTTTGGCTCAGACTCTCGCTTTGTAGGAAATCGGGTGAAATCGGGGAGCTGGCTTGTTTTCTGCCCGCTGATAAGCCGGGGCTTATTCAAGAGAGGAAAGTTTCAGAATCTGGCAAAGCAAAGAAATGGCAGAAAACATAGCAGCGTTGTCCCCGCTGAGTATAAGTGAACACCAAATTGAAATCTTGTAGAAACTGTTGCGCCATCTTGGCATTTTATTCTGCAGGTAAAATGCAGTGGGGGGGCAAATAAAACCTAATTTCTTTTTTTGGCTAGAAAACGCATGATATTTGTGCATATATTTAAAATATTATCCAGCATCAACCACATTTTATCTTTTAGCCTGTTATAAAAACGTAAGAAGTGGGTTAGTTCATTCAGACCCATCTTGCTCATCTTGCTAGTATGTTATTAATCCAGAGATCTTGTCCAGACATTTCTGGAAGGATCTTAAAGAACTGGTTTCAAGAATATGTCTGGGCGTTTTGTTCCCGATCCCTACAACCCTTTGTGTAAACAAAACAGCCTTCAATTGCTCCCTCTAACTCTCAGTTTTAAAAGTTGGTCATCTGGGCCAATACGTGTTAGGTGTTTAGTTTTAGGAAATGCTCAGTGATCATTATTGATGTTATACTATTCACAAACTCAAAGCGAGGTGGGAAGGGTGAATGATGTTTCCTGCCTGTTTGATCATCTGTGATGATTTTATCACTCTGTTTGGGATTACCAGTACCTGCAGCAGCACTGGTGTTTGGTGTTTCCTGTTATATTGCACTTCTAAGGTGATGGTTTGATTTAACAGCGATACACCGAGAAACGGACAGCCAGTCAAACCCGTGGCTTTTGTTGTTGCAGATTGCGGCTATGGTGGCGTCCATGACCATGTACTGCAAAATATCCTCGAAGTAACAAGGCGGTAGGGACGTCGAGAAGGAGGGAGGGTCAACGGGAATGATTCGGCCTCCAAATTCCCTTGTCACACCGAAGAATGAAGCACAGAATTGACTCTTCACCTCCTCAGCGCGGGCTAGGCTGAACGGACCCTTTTCAGGAAAAAGGCTCGGATGAAGCTACGCCTCTCCTGTCCCACTGTGCACTGCTGAATGACCGCTTCGTACTTCATTTCAATTCTATTACCAATTACCAGGGGAAAAAAACGAGTCAAAAACTACTCTCTAATAACTAAATCCCCGACAGAACAAAAAATGGAGAGGGGGTGGGTAATAGTCATCACAGGAATCGGAAAAGCGAATTAAGTTTGACCGGCACACCAATTTAACCGTTTATGAGAAGTACCTACAATTAAATGCATCTCCCGAGAAATTTGTTCTTGTTGCTTTATTTTGGCTGGGAGCTCTGTACTCTCTTGGAAAGACAGGCCCATCTCTTTAGGTTTGATCGTACTTTGGCACTTTAAAAGATGATTTTTCCTGCTTTAGATAATTTTCAGATGTGTTACATTTGCTTTTATTTCATCTCACCCTGCTAACTCCGAGCCGGAAGTCCGATGCCAGTTGTTTTTCTTTTGTAAAAAGGTCAACGTTTCTTTAGACAACGCCTCTACATGTTTTAACTTTTTTTTAACCAAACGTCCGTCTGGATTCTGAAGATAAATTCGGAGCAGTGAGAATCCTTGTTATCGCACTGTTCTCACTTTTTAAAAAATTGCACTACGATTCTGAAGTTTTATAATTTGTTTTAAACTTTTTTGGTTTTGTGAAGATTCTGTTCAATTCCATTTGAGTGAATTCACAAGGAATACATAACTGGCTCACAGGGATGTGTATTTTTCTTTAAAAAAGTATTTGTTGTGACTCGACGAAAAAAGATAACGTTACAGAGTAAGCAATGGAGAATTTTATATAATTGTGTTTTCCATGTTTATTGCTTTTAAATGATCGACCTTATTAGTGATGTTCTAATTACAACGAGATGTTTCAATTGTCCTACTAGTTATTAGAATTGTTGTTTATAATTTGTTATTACGGCGTTTATGTAGAAAATGAAGGAAATTGTGGTGTTGAAGTCATACACCAAGGCTTTGCTGTACAATTAAAGACACTTGAAAACATTTAGTAACGCTTCCAGAATGTACTTGACATCAAGCTTCTATAAAACGAATGCGTTTTAAGATCCTTTAAGATTTTTTTTTTAAATCGGGTTCAATACCATTTTCATCATTCTTCTCGTTTTGGGGGGATTATAAAGTTGTTATAAAATTTTTGAATGACTATTAATTTTACCAAAATAAAGAAACGTGGTTAAAGGGTTGTTGACCTTTCTTGGTGGGAACCATTATGTGACTTGACTGTGCCTGTGAGGGTAATTATGTTTGGGTGCGAGGCAACATTGCAGGTTTTTCCAACCCTCGGATACGCAAAAAAGAATGGTGCGTTACACTTTCTCTAAGTGTAGCTCACCACCCGCTTCTACTATTTGTATTTAAAGCCGTTCTACTGAAAGTTGTATCACTGTAACAAGATGCCGTCAATGTGATTTGCCATTCTCTCTCTTTTACCTTCGAAGTGCCTCAGGATACCATATAGGTTGGAAATTAACCAAATTGAGAAATTTTATCAAAGCCTATAGTCCACGTTTGCTAATGGTTTTTAAACCATCCAGTTTATAATGGAAATGTGTTAAAATTTCTGGGGGGTGGGTTCAAACCTCTGAATATTATTATAATAGTAGTAATATTCTGATATTTAACGAGACTGTTCTGTTAATTGTGATATCTTTAATTACTACCACTCGTCGGCCTTGACTACCAGCTGTGTTGCCCCGGGAAACGGGCCAGGCTCGAGGCCGCGGGTGTGCGGGATGCTAGTCGGTTAGCGGCCGTTTGAGCTCGAGCCGGACCCGTTTGAAAATACGGACATGTGTCTTAAAACAAACATTTAACTTAAGTTACTGTTCGGTACATGAAGGTGAGCGGTACAGAAGAAAAATCGTTGCTTTAGTCGGGGATAAAGGTTGAGCCCTTTACTGATAACGTCAGTTAAATCTGCTTGGTTTACTGTTTAAATATGAATAAGTTGGATCTATGGGTCTAGTTACTCGTACGATAATTGAGTAAATCAGGAAAATGTTATTAGCATTGTAATTTTTTTTATTACAGAGGAACAGTTTTATTAAAATTATACTTTTGTTATAATGGGTGCCTTTTACTTAAAACATATACCGGGAGATAAAATGGTCTTTGTCAACATAGCTGTGAACCTGCTTCTTTAGAAAGGCTAGTTTTATGTAATTGATGTCAGTGTCTTGCATCTTCCACGATATTTCTTATCCCTTCTGTTTCTTTGTGCTGAATTTATCTCCTATGGTACTGTTTTCGTTTCTTTACTTTTCCCATATATCGCTTTGAGAAGATGATTTTAAAGGCGCTATATAAAGATGTTGTTGAAATGTTTCCGCCCTTACAGAACCGAGAAAAAACACAAAGAAACCTTAACAGATATGCAGTTTACAACCTTGAATTTGGAAAGTAGCCGATTGCTACTAAAACGTAATGCCGCTTTGATGGAAAACAAGTCCTACAACTGGAGGTCTATAGCCTATTGTGCATAAACAGATTACATTTTTCTAATGCTCTTTTGTATCGGTTGTTTTGTAGATCTGAATGTTAACATTACTTTTATAAGCAAACTTGTATATCTACCAGTCCAGTCCTAGTTACAGGTTAATGTTTTTTGATTTATCGAGGACAGTCAGAATGGCCAGACTTCAAAAGATTTATGCTTGCTTGCGGTATCTGATGCTCTTCGTTAATGGGATCATCTGCGTAAGTATAGTTTCACAGGACAATAAACCTTAAAACCTCATGTTGAAATAGGTGGTGCTGTAAAATCCAGTGAATGCAGGGTGGTGATTAAGCTACATTACTGCCATAGATCAGGATGCATCTCTGCCTGGAAATTTATGCAGTGAAAAAATATAAAACGCTATAATTAAACTACAAAAATCACACAACATAAGGAACAGTTCTTTTATTGTAAGACTACATCACATATTCAGCTGCAGCCTTCAACAATATATGAATGTTGGGTATTCATTAATTTTAGATTGAATTAAAAAATGCCTACCTTTTTGCTGCCTCTTTTAAATTCACTGAACAATCTTCCAGCATTAGGTTGTTATAATAGCAAATTTTAAACCAGGAATTCCAGTACTTCAAATTCTTATCTGTATTTCTATTTTTGTGTTCGGAGGGGCTAGATTCCCCACATTTCAATGATCTCTAGCTGTGGTTCTTGATGTATTTCTAAAATTGTTGTGTTCTAACTTAATTCCTAATCTAAACTGCTTATTTTTACAATTTTTTTACAAAAGTTACAGTGAATGAACTTCAAATCAATATGTAGCTCAACTGGTTGGTAGTATGAAGTGACCTGAGAACCACATCCTGCTGTTTCTTGAAACAAGCCAAGGTTCCAGCTTCAACAATATGATTGGGTGACTGGTTCCAAACACAATGAAATATGCAAGACTGATTTTCTTTCTCCATGCTACATACTGAATGAATAGCCTTTTGGTGGAGGTAACCGACTTACTTGATGTAGCATGAAATTAGTGCAAAAGATCTGGATGACTTCACATGGCCATCTTTTTTTCAGACCGGGGGCTTTGTGCTTCTAGGATTGGGACTGTGGATCAAGTTTGGGGCAGCGTCCTTTGTTCAGGTTATGGGCTCGTTCTCAGCCCAGCTCATCAATATTGGCTATATCTGTATTGGCGTTGGAGCAGTGCTGGCCCTGATTGGCTTCCTTGGATGTTGTGGAGCTTGGAAAGAGAACAGATGTCTTCTCTTGTTGGTAAGAGGATTGTGAAGCTGTTTGGTGCTAGTTTTTGTCCAGCTCTGTTTCACACCCAGAAATGCACGAAGCATATACAGCTGTCTAATTGAACACTTTGAGTGCTTTTAGATTACAGCATTGACAGAACAAACTCATCATACCTACAGAAGGGTTTTGCATTCTTATGTTCCCATCTTTTAATAATTTATCAGTTAGTTTGATGCTCTGAGAATGTATTTTACATCAAACCATATCTGAATATAGAGATTTGAACCTGTTTTTGCAAGGCATTATGTCCAACAATTGCTTTTAATTCAATAACTTTGCTAATGTGAGAAATCGGATGCTGTACCTGAGTCTTCCCTGGACATGTCATTGCAATGGCTTAGATGTGCTTCTGAAAATTAGGAATATGCTGTAAGATCTGTGACATGTTTTAAGTAAACTTATCCTTATAACCTCCATTACTCTTCACAATTTGTTGATGTCAAGTGAATACTGTGGATCACATTATTTTCATGCTTAAGATGTGTGTGGATCAGTGTACAGATCTCTTATTTAAATCTCTGAATTGTTTTTCCTTGACAGTTCTTTGCAATAGTGACACTGATCTTTGTGGCCGAGGTTGTTGGAGCCATTCTTGTTCTTGTTTACAGGGCAGTGGTAAGGAGACTGCTCTCTTCATGCCTCTAAACTTCTCCCCACCAAGTTTTAAAAGAAATTCCTATTAGGTTCTTTAAAGCCTGATCTTTTTACCATGTGTGTATATACATCATTATGCGTATTTTTGTGGCTGTTCATTTTCCTATTATTCTGGAATAGATCTCCTCTTCTGATGATAGGGTTTAGATTATAGATTAATCTGAGTATATACTAACATTTTAATAAAATAAAACTAAAAATAAACCTAAATTATAATAAAATTTAAAAATAATCTTCATTTGGCATCAGTTAGACCATGTACTGTTTCTTTAGTATCGTGTTTATTCTATATCAGCTTTATTTTCTTTGTAACATGTTTTGTTTAAAACTGGTCTAGTACTAAACATTTTAACCACCATTCCATTTTTCCTGAAAAAGGACTTTTTTTTATTTTAAGTGAAGCACTGTGCAAAAAATGGGTAGTTCTTTTGTTACAATACATTATAAAGAAATAATAGATGAATCCTTAATTCCTGTGCAAAACAGCCCTTTTAGAGTTCTGTAAGAGAATCAGACGGGCAATTTACTCACAAGGAGGTTTGGGTTGGTTATACATAGTACAGCATTTAAAAATAATTTTGTTATTTTAGGTAGAGGCTCTTGTACGTGACACTAGCAAGAAATCTCTGATGCAGGGCTATATGGGTCCTGCAGCCTCAGATACAGTGTCCCAGGCTTGGAACACCATTATGATTGGGGTAAGTTATCAGCCAAAAGTCATGCCATTGAAGAGGACATGTTCAACCTCTCACTCTAGGAAATAAACATCCAGCCACATAGCTTGTACATGATTGAAAAAAGTACATACAAAACCAAATAAAGGGTATTAGGAGAAGTTTGATAATGAAAATAAACTAGGATGACAAAGATTTATCTGAGAAAATAAAAAAAATATCTGGTCTCAAAACATTAGTAGTTTGTAAAATGTTAATTAAAGTTATTGCTGAAACTTCAGCTGATGTGTACTTTTTTGTGATTTTTTTTCCTTGTGCTTTGCAGTTTAAGTGTTGTGGGTTCGACAACTACACAGACTTCGCTGGCTCCGTGTTCAGTGTGAACACAGGGCTGTCTTATCCAAAGAGCTGCTGTGCTGTCCTGACAGAACCGGCCTGCAATGGGTTGGACATGAACAAGACTCTCATTCACCAGAAGGTGCTCACCTACTAGATGATTTGCAAGAGCTTGTTTTTACAGATGTGTGAAAAGTTTTCATAGTACTGAAGACATTTACAAAAGAGAACTTCTCTAAAACATGCATGGACACATAGAGGTTTACTCACAGATCAGGGGTTGTGAAAGATCTAGCAGAATGATGGTTCAGGCAGGGACCTTATTTTTGTATTTACTTGAGACTCAAATTACAAAACACAGCCCATGAAACTTCACACCCCTTAACATACTGTGTATATCATCATTCCACCAGATGTGTAACTAGCACTCTAGTCTGTTAACTAACAACCAATGACTTGGCTAGGAAGAGATATTTATAGCTACTTCAAACTATCAATAAAACTCAACATTTGTTGGCCCTATCCAAAAAAGCCCTCTTGTCTGGACATATTTATCTAATACAGAGGTTACACTTTCTGGCATACAAATGGACAATTGGAGAACCATCACAATTTAAACCTGCTCATGAAATATGATAAAAGCAGATGAAAAATATACAGTTAGTACAATCTGGGTACCTTTCTCAAGGCTACGGCAGCAGTGTCTCTATTTAGGATTTGAAGTCATAACCCCCTAGAATACAAAGTCCTAAACACCAATCCACACTAACGCTAAATTAGCCTTGCAGGGCTCAGATTGTTACCTGGAGGGGTGGAGGTGATAGGAAGGATGGGCCTTGAAGGCTAATGATACAATTGAACATAATGCTCCATAATCACTTATTTACAAAGAATAAATTAAGTAAATAGACACTGTCTGGAATAGAAGTTGATGAGTTCTGACACCTCATACCAATGTCTTTGTCAAAGGCCATACAGCCTTATTTCAGCAATTGAATTTGTAAAAGTGTCCGTTTCAAATTAAGAAGTTGAATTTAGATTTATAAACGTAGACTGATCATGCTGTTAAAAGATCTTGCCAAAGCCTGCTTTACTGTAGAGCTTTCCTTCTGTTGATTAGAGTATCCCTGACACGGTCCAATTCATGATGTGATTTATCTCTCCTGCTGGAATATTCTTTCTCTCTCTCTGGCTAGGCATTTGGACATTTAGCAAACTTGTGATTTTTTTAGACATTGTTTTATAGTAGAAATGTGTCTAATTTACAGTGTTACTATTTCAAAAAACAACTTAGTGAATATTGTTGACTGGCTGAATTTCTAGGTCAGTTGAATAATTATTTCCTTTCATAATCTATAGTGTTAATCGAGAAAAATATTAAGTCATTTTTCACATGTATACACTGAATGCACAACACAACATTTTGCTTTCTCAGCAAAACAAATATTTATATACAGATAGAAAAAAGAAATGCAACATTTCCTGGAAAGAGAATACTATATTTATAGCTTATGTACTTTCACAAATAAGTGTTTGTTTTAAGCCCGCTGACCAGCAATACAGCTTGCACAGTGAGGCATCGCAACTTACCAATCACACAAAAGCTTGTTAGGTGCACTTTTACCCAACAAGGTCCAGGTGGGACAATACCTGATCAGGTCACCTTTAAAAAGGCCTTAATTAAAAGTTTAGGGCACTGCAAGAAAAAGGCCTCACTTAGTTTTGTCTGCATTCCATAATTCCTCAAATGGCACCAGAAGCAAGGGAGAGGGCCATTGGCATGCTGCAGGCAGGCATGTCATGTGCCAGCGTTGCAGTTGCTGCTGCTCCACTGTGTCCCGACTGCAGAGAAGGTTTCTGCAGATTGGCAGGACAGATTACCGCCCAAGATCCAGTTGTCCTCGAATGACCACACCAGAGCAGTACTGAGGCATTAGGTTGGTTGACCTGAGAGATTGTTTCAGATCTGCCACCCATACTGCTGCTGAAACTGCTGGCAGACATAATACCCTCATCAGTGACAGGACAGTGAGAGTCTATACTGCTGGTCTTAGAGCAAGGTGACCTGTCAGAGGCCCTCTGCTCACACTCGACTGGCTTGGGCCAGACAGAGGCTGCGATGGACTCGTCAGCAGTGGCATCAGGTCCTCTTCACGGATGAGTCGCTCTTCAGCCTGTTCCACTCAGACGGGAGGGCCAGAGTGTGGAGGAGGAGATGTTGCGTTTCTTTTTTCAATCAGTATATATGAGCTGCTTAACATATTTGGTTTTAAATTTGTTATACATGGCTTTTCCAAAATTCCAAAACACCGGATTAGAGTCCGACACGCCCAGCTCTGGCAGAACTCGGATCCACTAGGGATCTCCTTCAGCAGGCTGTTCTTGTTCTTGCCAGGTTTCCCTGTTTACACTGTCCTCTTTTTTAGGGGTGTTTCCGAGTGTTGATCTCACTGGTTCAGGAAAAGAGTGTCATTATTGGATCAACAGCTGCTGGCATTTGTGTATTAGAGGTGGGTCCTAGAATAAGAGTGTTTCACTCAAACAAAACCGGCCTGCAATGGGTTGCATTCTCATTCACCAGAAGGTATTCACATCCTAGATGATTTGCAATAGCTTGTTTCCACAACTGTGTGAGAGGTTTCCATAGTACTGAAGACATTTACAAAAGAGAACCTCTCTAAAACATATATGGACACAAACATAGAGGTTTACTCACAGATAAGAGGTTGTGAAAGATCTAGTAGAATGATGATTCAGGCAGGGACCTTATTGTGTTGTTCTGTATTAACATGGCTAATTCTGGGTTTTGGTCTGTTTTCCTGTTTTGCTTGGGAACAAACCAGGACCTGTGACATGCAAAGACAAATGATTTCTCAGCTTAACACTTCATGAATAAACTGGTACAAACTGGCACTAAATACTGTACATTTTTCTGAAGTGCATAAAGATCTCTATTAACAGTTACATACCCACATTCTACTTTTTGTCAAGATTGTTTTCATATATTCTTTAGTTTATTATTGCACAACAAAATTAAACACAGCAAGTTGTCAATCGGGACTACAAAACAAGTTATAATAACATTTTTGAAATGCTTATTTTCTTTTAGGTATAAAATTCTAAATACTGAGTATCAAAAGAAACGTACTGCTCTTTGCATGTATATTATTAGAAAATGTACAGAGATTTTGGATATTGAGTCAATGGCTGATCATGATACACCTCAGTTGTTGCATAAGCGCTATATCATCACATTACAGTGACTTTAAATAAAATGTCAAGACTGGTGAAAATCAAGAAATCAAGAATAACACAGAAGAAAACCAACATATCCTGCTTATCAAGAATAATACCTTCATGTCACAGGAATATTCAAGGCTGGACTAAGTCAGCACAGTGCTGGGGTAATCCAAGAATTTATAATCTGGCAAGACTTTACAGTCTGTCTGTCAATTATATGCCATGATCCGAGAGACCATTCCAGCACGACAACTCACATCCTCATGCTGCTAGTATAACAATAGCTTTCGTGTCATGTCTGTTCAATGAAATGTTATTGTGTTTGCATTTGGAGTTCAGTATACTGTATGTTAAATGTAATACACTGTTCTGTTTATATATACATGATTTGCCAGCAACTTTCAAAATATGGAAATTCACAACTCCTGAAATTGGACAATAGCCAGAAATTTGCATTTCAGGCATTCTCTGCATGGCCAAACGGTTTAAAACGTTCTTGCAACCTTGTGATTTAGGAAACAATCATAATATGTTTTTTGAATTGATGCTAATATATTACTTTTGTTCTTTTCTTCATTTTCCTTTCAGCTTGTAGCCATGATTGTTTCTGTTGTGTTGTTTGTTAAGCTTGGAATTCAAAATAATGGTTAGAAGACCAACACTGCGATTTCTTGAATGCAAAGCAAAATTGTAGGTATCCATATTCAGTGTATCACTACAAAACATTTCTTTTTTACATTTTTGTGATTCATAAAAAACACTGTTGTGCTTGTAACACTGAAGGCATCTCTAAATACATTTGAAATGTAAATAAAAAGTATCCCCTCCAATAAATAGTACATTCTTTTGCCAAACAACTTTGAAAAATTGATGGGTGATGTTCTACAATGATTTACGTCTCTAATATTTCACTTTATCATTTTATATTTGATTAACATCTAGATTTATATATCTATAAATGTCTCTGCCAAGTTGGATGTACATTCAGTGCATTTAGAAACAGCCTTTATATATTGTAATCTGGAGATGGAGGTTACTTACATCATTAATAACATATCTTTCGGGTCTACAGATTTCTCAGCCCTGAAATCTGTTTACAATAATTAGTATTTGTGAATACAATTCTTTCATTATTCAGAAATGTTGAATACAATTTACCTCACGACTATTAAAGGTTGAGATCTAGGTTTTCTTTTTAATATGAAAATCATATGTATAAAGTATATATTTGCTGGTTTTCTTTAACTTCTACTGTTATATTTAAATGAAATTCTGAAACAATATTAAAAATAATCTGTCTAAATTATATACATCACATCCTCATCCTTTTAGGTTTAGTGTATAATATCTTTTCATATCTTTATTAGTCTGGTTTAGATAATCTTATATTTATTTTGTTAATAACCAGTTATCTTAAAAAGCAGTATTTGGTTTTCAGTAATCCATTCAAAATTCTAGAAATTCTGATACAATCAGAAGAATAATAGTCTTGAGTTCAGGTGATAATAATAATAATAATAATAATAATTGCTTACACTTATATAGCGCTTTTCTGGACAGGTAATATGAGTCATGTCCTAAATAATGCCAGTCTTCTGCAATTTTTTTTTTCAAATTCATTGCAATAATAATTCAAAATAATAGCAGTTAACTTTAGAGGTCTTGTATTTCTACAACGCCCTCCATAATTTTCATTTGCTTTTTAAGTGTTACAGTGTGAAATCATTACAAAAATAATGGATGACAACTTACTCAAAACATATGACACTACTGCCCTCTAATGTTACTTTTCTGTAATTGCGTTCGTCATCCATTTCTTCTCGAATGTGCAGTTTTTAGTTTTCGTAACAAAAAATTCGCTTGAGCACTTCAATATTTTTGCGGTCTCTTATTAGGTATACACTATTGAACCACCTCACTTGTGACGATTTTAGTATTACTGTTAAAATGTAGGTGGATAGATACTATATGTATATTACAAAATATACCTGTTTCTATATTATGTTAAATCTGGCATCCACAATTTTTACAACTTTAAAAGAGCTGGACTCTAAACAGTAAAGTTAGCTTTTAATGATTTTTCAGGTGTAACTGTAAAAATGAGCTAGATTTCAGACTGTGTTCTTATGTGGTTTCTGTGTTCCCTAGCTAGGAGAAACATTGATGACCTCATTAACATTAAATTAAAATTACAAGTATTTAAATGATAAAAAAAATGCATTTCCAAAATAATATTTGTAGTTACTTCATTTTTATTTACAACACTGGGAATTATTTTACAGAGACTGCAAACTGGTTGTAGACATTATAGTGTTATACTTGTTCAAGTCCTTTTGGGATAGCAATTCAATCAAACTGAGATTGTGAACTATTCAAACTGTTCAAAGCAACGCACAATGAATGTCTAGACCGATAAATTAAAGTAAAACAGTTTCTTGGTTAAAAGGAGCATAATTAGGTCATTATTGAAGCAAGGAACAGTGACTGGTTTTGAAATGCCAGGTATCACAATTAGCTTTTGCTAGCTGCCCCTAACGCTAAAGGAGACTCACTGAAACAGCACAAATGATTACACATTTGTGAAGTCACAAGTATGTTTAACAATAAAATGGCACTAAGATTCTGTAGTTAGGTTTAATCATTTACATTTTTAAACTGTAACAGCAAATGCAAAGGGAGTGGGTGTGTCACAGGTCCTTGAGACCAGGTCTTTGTGCTGTGGTATTTCACACAGTCGATCCAGTCTCAAGAATTGCTCACTTCTTACAATTAATTGTTAGAGCAGTAATCACACACCTGGCACCTGAAAGCACAGTAACTTTTCACTCAGTAAACTTCCTGCCTGTTATAAGAATGGATTAAAAATATTAAAGGGGAGGGTTATAACTAAGTATTGATCAGAGATTGGTAAAAACATAAAATAGCCTTCTGGTGTTCTGGTATATGAAGGAGCAAGCAGTGAGAATGTAAATATAAAGTACTGATAAGTCACACTGCTTAGTTGGATTAATGATGGAAAAAGAGTGCACATTATTGTATTGACAAAAATGGTTAATTTTTAAAAAATGTTTAAATTGCCAGTTTTTTGCTTTGTACATATGTATTACAGTTGTCCAGCAGGGTGAGGATGTCAGCCTTGGGAATCCCAGTCTCAGCTGGTTAATGGCATAGCCTAGAACGCACTGGCCTGTCTGGACTACAGACTTTGCTTGTACAATAAATGTTTTTCTTTGTTGAGCCACTTTGAAAAGCAAATATTCTCTTCTAAAGCATTTTGTTTTCGATATTGCTTTAGTTATAATGCCCACCTCAATAACTCAGTGATGGTTTTATACAGTAGGTGGGCAGCACAGTTAGCGTTGCTGCCTCACACCACTGTGGTTCTGGGTTCAGTTTCTGGGGTGCTATCTGCGTGGAGTCTGTATGTTCTCCCCTTATTCATGTGGGTTTTCTCCAGCTGTTCTGGGTGTATCCTGTCTCTGGGTTATATATTAACTGTGATGCTTTCACTATCCCAGCCCTGAAAGAAAACAATGCCAGGAGCAGGCTTGCTTTCTTTTGGCCGGGCTGTGGATGTGAAGGTCAGGGCTGTGGCAGTCAAACACAAGCTGTAGTGCTGGTGCATAAGTGAGGTCCTTACTGGAGAAGAGGAGGGGGACATCACCACAAACTCAAAGACAAACGAGAGGAGGTAGTTCATTCAGAGTAGGAGTGTGAACACACAATGAATCATATAATCATTCCAACAGTAATCTCTTTTATTTACAAAGAGCATTTCGTCCCAAAGGCATGAACACTTTGCTCAAGGGTACAGTGTCCCATCTGAGAATTGAACCAAATACCAACTGGAGTCCAGAGTCCCAACCAAAGCTTTGCAAAACTGCTCTGTGCATACAACCAAAATAAAAGGAAAAACAGTTGAGTCTTTCTGATTGTTCTGCTAGATGGACTGCGGGCAGCCACCCAGCAATGGAACGTGCTCCTAAGAAAAACATTGCATGTGATTGCCCATGCGAAAGGAGAGGCTTTTCATAAGGGTGCAGGGCAGGGAGCAAAGCAATTGTGACACTAGCTAACAACAATTTACTGCTGTTTGACTTGTGGGCTTTTCCTCCTGTAAATGAGGTGTCTATTCATGTGTGCAAAACTACCTTTAATGCTGGAGTCCTCTGGCATGTCTTCTTTTATGGGGTGATCTTTTTCTTTTAAGAGAGATGTAAACACAAGTGAAGTAAACAGTGTGTCCGGTGCATTGTAACCAGAGTGGAATTCCTGGGCTGTATCTCCAGAAAGCTATGTTCATGTTCTAGTTAAGAGTGTGTAAGTGCCCTGTGCGATTAGCAGGCTAACCCAAGCACAACTGATCAGCCGATGATGTACAGTAGGTGCAAGGGGAGCCCAATCACACTGGTATTTGCAACAGGGATTTGAGCACACTCAACGTCTTTAAGTAAAATGCACAGAAAAAAAAACAATTTTTATGTTTATTCCTAATCGCCAATGACTAAAAATGTATGCAAAATAATACCCAGAACAAAAGCTGAAATTCTATACTTTCGTCTCATGTTCATCTTTTGATATGAAATACAAATTTAATTAGGACACAACAAAATTACAAATTTCACTTCACTGTCCCAATAATCATGCTTTTTGATCTGCAGTGTACCTTCAGATTAAGATCCAACTTCATTAATCTATTTTAGTCTTTACCTCCTTCTTATTAAAGGGTAGAAAATATTGAATTTTATTATCCTGTTTTTGTTAAGTTCTGTGTGCTATATGTGTTTTGTTGAAAAGATAAATACTTTAGAAAGCCTCCAATCTTAAAGGATGAGTGAGAATAACATTCAGTCTCCCCAATACATGTGTGATTTCGGCATGACGTTCACACTGCCCAGAAAGGCTATAACTAATGACCAAAAGTATGGGGGAATGCTTTATCAATTAGTTAGCGGGAGGGGAGCAGAGTTTACATCTTGGTCTGGTTTAGGCCGTAGAAGGACACCGGAAAGTTATGCATTACATCAATTCTGTCGTCTGGAGTTGTGATGACAAACGGAATTTATTTTATTTTTGAGTTTTACAAGAGCAGTTTTTGCGAAATTAGCTGGGTTTGACGAGTCCTCGTCCTTAACGGGTTGTACAACTGGCTATAACGACATGGGAAGCCCGATGGACTTTTTCCATACAGGTGAGGAAGCTCACGGGGGGGTGTGTGTACCCGCTCGTGAGCGGTTGCTAAGGTGGAGCCATTACGCTCTGTGTCCCTACGCACTGCAGGAAGTTGGATTTGCTGGCTGTGCTGCGGTTTGTTCGGATTCCACAAGTTTAGTTTTCTGTTTTCTCTTCTGAGATGTTTGATGGACGGTCCTGAAGGATTAATAGCCTGACGGAGGTTTTAACAGTTTCCTCGGTGTTGCCAGCTGCCCCATTCCTGTCGTCCGACTTTTGTTGACGCGTTTTCGTTTCCAGAAACAAAAGTCGTCATCCCGGGACGCCTGTGACCAGCTCAGTGAAAATGTCCCTCGACGGGAAAGAACCACCTGTCAACGAGTAAGTACAACATCTGTCAAGGTCGGGAGTTAGAAACAGCCCTGTGTTTTCTATAGTCAGAGCGGCTGAGACAACAGTTAACAGTTCAGTTTTGGGCTGAAATAAATGTATGTTTGTCTGCGTCTAATGTCAAAAGCGCCTTTTCCAAATATAATTGTTGGTAAATCCCTAAATGTCGAAACAGACATTTGTGATTGCGAGTCTGTCATGTACAAGCTGGAAATAGTTTTGAATAGGCCGACGAATAGTAAGACATTGGTCTTGGTATCGGTGTGAAATATTCTATCTTGTCAAAAACATAAGATGTGTTCTAATCGAGAGAAGGCTATTCGCCCATTTAGTCCACTCTCGTTGTTTTCAGTTAATTGTTGGATCCCAGGATCTAATGTCATTTTGTGAAAGAAGCCAGGCTTGAGCAGCTTGTTGCACACCCCCACAGCCCTTTGTGTACAGAGGTGCCTCTTGTTTTAAATGCACTTCCATGTCCTTTCCACTCATGTCCTCTAGTCCAAGTTGCACTCTGAAGAAGTCCTCTGGGTTACCTTTGTCAATGCCTTTCTGGATTTTGAATATTTGAAACAGAACCCATTGTTGTCTTTGTCTGTTCAAGAAAAGCTTGAATAGTTTTATCCCTTCAGCGTAGGACATTCCTTCGAGCCCCAGAATGCACCTGATTGCTCTCCTGCAGACTGATTCCAGAGCAGCCTGTATTCTTACATTTTGTTTGCCTTTTAAAAATGCTAACCCACAGTGTCTACAAGATGCACATGATCTGTTGACATAGACACCCAAGTCGTTTTCACAAGTTGCCTCTCACTTTAACGGTTTCACATTTTATATATTTATATTTTTATATGTTTCTCTTTTTGCTACCTGCTTGTCCAGCTGATAGTTGGTAAAATACCTTAAAGCCCCGGAGATTTGTGTATCCTAGTTCTAGACTGTGTAACACTTCTGTCTGTTCTATGCTCTTATTTATATTAATATTTTAAATATTTATATTTAATAGCTAGCTTTATCTTTCAATCTGCAAGAGGCATTGTGTCTGTTACCTTCCTTGGTAAACACTTGACTGAAATCGTGATTTAATACTTCACTTTGGTCCTCGATGTGTGATCGTCAGTGATAGCTTGCCCCAGAAACTGTTTCTGCATTAAAAAGGCAAACCAAAGAGTGGAGAGAGCAGACCAGTGCAGGGACTCACACCCCAGGATGTATGTGTGTGAGCATCTTTTCTGCAGAAACCTGGTAGTCCAGGTGGCATTCTAGAAACCGTGCAAACTCTTCTCCTTCAGCAACAGTACGACACTGTTCTGCTCTCCAGCTCTGACGAGTCGGTTGGTAAGACCTTTGCTCAATGCGCTATTTCTCATGCAACCCTTCACAGGTGCTGTGAGAGGATTCTCTGGAATTTAACCTAATTGGAACTGGAATCAAAACAAGATGAAGACTAGCCTGTGTGTTCTCCTGTAGCCGCATACTACGATGAAGAAAAGTTACTAGGAGGGATTAATGATATCATAGGCCAGAACCATTTCAGCAGCTTCCTGATGTTTCCTGAAGAGTTTCAGCCAGCTGTGGTCCCAGAGCCCCGCTCATCTGCTGACCTCTCTACTTAAATGAGTGTTTTGTTTTTGCCTCTTTAAAAGTTGGAGATTTTTAGGGGCTTGGTGAAATCTGTTAGTTAAAAGAAGGCACCCTTCCAGCATGTTAAAGGCATGAAAATACTTAAAGAATTAATAATTGACCAGTCCTGGGCCTGGTGACCCATACGCCTCTAGGTTTTCATTCCATCCCATCTTAGATAACTGAAGCCCCGCTTGGTGTAAGAAGTTGCTTCATTGGAAAATTTGCATTTGGTTACTTGTCACAAGTTTAGGATTTTATTCCACTTACAAAATACAGCAGTTAAAGCTCCCAACGCATTTAAGAGCCGGGAACAGGGAGTTCGCATTAATCGTATTATGAAGTCAATGAAGGGTTTGATTGTGTTAGGGAGAGATCAGCTGGAATAAAAGCCCACAGGTGGGCTGGTCACCAGGACCCAGATCAGGAGCCAGTGTAACAGGCCCTTCCTCCATTTTCGGCCATGTGAACAAAAGGAGGTTGAATTCACAGGCGAAAGAAAAGTTCCTACGCTCCATCTCTCACCCCCCTCACCATGAAAAACAAGAATAACTTTGTGTCATTCCTTTAAATGTAAAATACCTTTGGGCTTGGTGGCAGGCTTGATGGGTTGAGGAAGCAGCCCTGCTGCTAGCTATAACCGAACTGTGGCTCTGTGCTTGCAGCTTTTTCTCTCTCCAAAGAAAATAAACGTGTCTTGTTCGAAATGCTGATTTTATCATGGGAAGAGCGAGAGGGAGAGGAAGTGAGTGGCCACATGCATTGATGTCCCTGTACTGTTTTAGGATCAGGTCTCCCGTTGTGCGGCCGCTTGTGCTGGGTCTGGACACTGTGACTTTAACAGCTGATCACTCGCTATGCAGCATGTGTCTCGGCGCTGGGGAATTCCAGCTTCTGTCTGCAGTTTCTCAGCAGGGAACGGCCCCACTAGCTGCCTGCTACACCTTGAGGGATTTCGTCTCCTGGAGCCGTTGGTGTTGTGCCTGATCTCTCTACCTTTTCTTGGTGTGGGCAGTAAAGAGCTCGGCTGCGATCTGCTGACCCCTTCCTGCCGAGCTCCTCCTGAAGTGCCATTCTCTGTGTGTTCATAGTCAAATGGGCTTCTGCTCTTCTCTGCAACAGGCCCAGCACTGGTAGTTCTCTTACCGGAGCAGCACTGCAGATAACAGCTGGCTGAACAGAGAGCTCTTTCTAAGGTTGCAAGCCACAGTATCATTATAATTCTCATGTGTAAACTCCCCCTCATGAGACACTCGCAGGAATCAGGAATTCAGAATGAACAAGCCCGGTTCTTGAGTAGGGAATATACCGTAGGTGGTTGCGTATGCACAGACAAATGTTTGACCTGATCATGATGAAGGCAGAAGGGTAGACCTGCTGGTAGGCTGTCCACATTCTAGAGCCTCCAGCTCAATGCAGACCTCCGCAGGCAAGAGCTGTTCATGCCTTTGGAGAGGGCGACAGGTAACTCAATAAACCAGAAACAGAAACACGAAAGGAGAGAAGGCTGTTGACTGTGTTGGAGAGTGTCGGAATGAAGAGAAATCTCGACAGTTTGGGGAAGTTTCGCTGTGGCTCAGCTATACTGTAAAAGAGTGTGCAGAGCTGAGTTTGCCACAGAGGACTTTTTCAGTGAGCTTTTCCTGCTCAGCGTTAGTGAAAGTGAGCAAAGTGCACAGAACTTTCTTTTTCCTGGTACTCTGCGGGGCCTTGCAGGAGCTGACTTGTAAGCTCTGCTGTCTCAGCAGGCCACTAACAGCCTTGCTCTGGCCTCTCCTCTTGCCTTCCGTGCTTTCCTTTAGGGGTTTCCAAATCCTGATGTTTTCAGGTGATACACAGGTTCCCTGCCATCGAACGCTCAGGGATCAGCTGTTGAAGATCTGAGCTCCTTGTGCTCCACAGTTTCTCCCTCCAAAAACAGCTTGCTTAAAACGGCTCCTCGGCTGCTGTGGCCCTGTTGCAGCTGTTTGCAGTGTGTGTATCCTGCTGACGCCCGGCTTGTGCTCTTCTCTCCCCACAGCTCTCCTCCGATCAGCCTGCAGACCGCTCTGGAGGAGTGCATGGAGGCCCTGGATCTGTTCCTGAACAACAAGTTCACGGAGAGCCTGGACAAGTTGCGGCCACGGTGAGCAGCAAAGCAAAGCCTGACGAATAGCCCCGCCTCCCACCAAGAGGCGGAGTCAACCTTTCCTACTCTGGCCACACCCCCTCTCTCCTCCCCTGCCCTCCTGTCCCCCCGACTGGCAATCTGGCCCTGCTCTTCCTTGAGTCTACACGTGGGGTCCACTTCTCTCCCCACTCATGGGAGCGGGTTCGATTCCTGGAGGTCACTACATGGGTAGGCAGAGCTCAGGTGTTTGCACTGCAGTTGCAGTTTAACCAGAGAAAGAGAACAATTTTGAGTCTGATGGTTTGCTTTGTCCTGGGAATTTTCATATAAATGATTCTAATAATTAATAATAAATTATTCTAATAATTAGCCTTTCCTAGCTGCACTGTGGACATAGAAATACTGTAACATCATACTATGGGTATACAAAATGCTTTTTCTGTGTCACTGTCATAGTACACACTTACTGTACAGTTTAAGCTTAACAGTTCTGAATATTTAACTGAAGACCTTACTTTGAATAACTTTGTAAAAACTACCGTGCTGTGTAAGAAAGAAAGCATAAAACATTTGTAGATCTATCACACACGAAATATGAACTTTATTATGTGTGATCCTGAATCTTTCACTGCCTCACTTGACTCAGGACAGTGCAAGTTGGTTGCTGACAACTGATTTATGATCTGAAATGGTGTTTGATCTGAGGTCATGAACTCACAGGTCACGGGAGGTGCTTTTGGCAGGTCAAAGGTATCCCGGCCAGTTCAGTTCAGTCTTTCCCAGGCCTGTCCATGCACGTCCATCTGAGAGTTGCAGTTTAGTCCCTGTTTTCCAGGTTGGACCACAACCATAGTGACAACTTAGGCCTAGTGCTGACATAGTTGATGCTCTGCTAGCGAGTGCATCCGTGGTAGCACTTACATTACAACCCTTACATTGTGTAGCCGTCTACATTGTGTACTGTACCCTTATGTTTCTCTGTATCTGAGATGGCATGGGGTCATTATATTTGCTGTTGCTGGAATTGACTAGCTGTCAGTTTAGTATTCTGCTCAGTGATTATAATCACCCTATAAACTGGTGATGATAAATGATTTCCTTTCCCAATCATCTTCAGCTTTCAGGGACACAAGCGAATCCAGCTGCTTGGCACTGTGGTACACTTCAGGTTTTAAAAGGTTTGGGCTCTTCTGTGCAAAATAGAAAGGTGTTACCTGTAACTGTCTTAAGGTTCTTGTGTCTGGCCATGTTGAAAATAAGGTTGCAAAGTTGAAATATTACTCTATGTTGTTGCCTGTGTTGACAGCTGAAACTCTCTTTATGACTCATCCTCAAGCTCGCCAACAATACTGATGGCCACGAGGGATGAATATTGCATTGCTTCCTCTGTCTTGGAGTACTTTTGAAGAGTAATAATTCTGAAGTAATTATTCCTGCAAGGTTGTGAGTTCAGATCCCAGGTGGAGCTTCACTGTTGTATCCTGGAGCAAAGTGTTTCATTCCGAGCTCTCCATTGAGAAGCTCATCTATTTAAATGGGTGCAACTGTAAGTGTCACTTTGCATGAAAGCATCAGATAAACAAATTGAATAAAAATAAGTGGGATTTTTTTTTACTTTTACATATTATTATAAAAGTGGATAAATGCTAGAATGAGGATATTGGTTATTTTTGTTGTAATAAAGTATTTACTAGAGATGACCTTTGTCCCACATTTGTAATACACACCTTCAGGGGTCATTATGCACGTGATGTTGGACTGCTCTAGAAAACTTCAGTAGCACTTTTATTTTTACTTGTGAAACAATTATATGTCACAAACTAAGTATGAACTGGTTTGTTATGCGTGTTTTAATATTGTATTGATGTCCTAAATGAAACAAACTACAGCCATGACTGTGTCGTCCAGTGTAGATTTATAGGCCGTCTTGCGCAGATTAGGTTGTAGGATTAGGACTGGTTTTGCTGCTTTGACAAGTTGGATCTGAGCCCTTAGGGTGTTCCAATAGCTTACCAGATAAGCAGAGCCACATGAAATGATTATATAATTATTCAGGATCAATTAGCTGGAGAGGAGCCGGAGTGACGCAGCAGGGATCTGCGCCAATAAATCGGGACTTCATGAGGAGAAGGAGAGAGGAGGTGTTTGACCTGGTTTTAGAGTGGATGGAGGCTCACGCTGGTTTTCTGTTTTTTCAGGTTTCATTTCTTGGTCTTAGTAGTTTTCAAACCTCTTAATATTTTAAACAGTCACATTAACTTGATTTGTATGGCTACTGAACAACAGCAGAAAGTCAAAACATAGGCAGACTCCCAATCACTTATGAGACAAACCGTTTTGTGCAAAATATCTTTACAGTCTAGTATAGTGCATGGAAAATGGGAAAAACTTACAAAATGCATTAGCATTACAATTTCTTTTTCCTTGGAAAAGGAATATCTCTTTGCAAGGCACCTGTGTGGTTAATTTGATCTCACAGGATCTTTTGCCCGATTGCAACGCTGGAAGCATTTGTTTGGAGCAGAGCTGATGAAAGGTTGAATCCACATCCCGGGCGCAGCCTGCCTTTCCGCTGTCCTGCTGCACAGTCGCCCAGGTGTTTGCCTGGTTAATTGTTGGTGTCAGGGAGTGAGGTGGGGTGGCAGGTCTCGAGGGAAGGTGTCTCCGGCACCAGGATGCAGAGTGTTTGCTC